TTTTAAATAGGTAATTATTTACGCCTAATTATTACTATTATTATTATAATTACTTGGAATAATTTACGCCTGATTATTTTATCAAAAAGTAATTATTTATGCCTAATTAAATAGGTAATTATATACTTAATCACTCTATTCTTAAAAGAAAATACTTTTAAGAATAATAGAATGATAAATTAAAGGAAATTTCGGATGCATAATTACTTTATTCTGATAAAAAAGCAAGGGACTAATTTCACAAACAAAATCTACGTTGTTTCCTTTTTAGAATAATTTCACATGCATAATTACTTAATTACTCTATCCTTATTTAGAATGATAAATTAAAGGAAATTTTGCATGCCTAATATATTTCTAAAAAGGAAACAAAATATAAAAAATATTATTTATATAAACTTCTTTTCTAATACCGAAATTTTTTATGAAATTGGAATTGATATAATAAAAAAATGATTACCATTCAACTAAAAATAATATTTGTCCATAAAAGGTAATAATCACGTTAAGGTGTAAATTTTTTAATCAATGCATTAAATTTACAGTTTCGTAATTTATATAATTTCCAATTAAGAAACAAACCATTTTAATCATACAAACCATTTTGTTAAGAAAATAAGCTTTCAATTTAATTATGTTTCCATTTATAGATTCGGTGCCAAATATTTTATGAAGAAATTTAAATATATAAGTTTATGCATTTAAGGAAGGCACAATTAAAAAAATCAAAATAAAAAATAATAAAAGAAATTAAATATAAAAAAATGTCAAAGTAATACATAGAAATGGTGGCACATATGTTAAGTGTTGAATATAGAGATAGTAATTAAATCATAAATTACTTTGTAGCAAGAATAAATTATGTATTACCATGTAGAAAAAATAATAATACTAATACATCGTGCAATGATATTAATGTATTTAATCATTATTAATTTATTGTCATGAAAGAATAATAATAATAATATACTGTGTAATAATATTATCGTACTTAGTTATTATTATTGTGTAATAATTCTAACTAAATAAGCTTTCAATTAAATAATGTTTCCATTTAGAGATCCAGGCCCAAACGTTTTATGTAGATATCGTTTTAAGAGGCGTGCCTTTAATATATGGAAACATATTGAATAATATATACCTTTATATGTTGAACAATCAACCACTAATTGATAACTTACCCAGAAAAAATTAGTTGCATGGAAATAGAAAAATACGATATTTTGAATGACTTACACTCTCTTGAGTTCTTAAATAAGATTCATGCTTTCGGAGTAGAAAATAATGAAGAAGTCTTTAAATAAATAAATTTTTAAAAGTTTGATATATAAAAATTATACGAGTAATGTAGTTATAAAGAAGTCTTTCGTTATTTGTAAAGCAATTAACTTTTGTACCTTAAAATAATAAAATATTTATATTCTACTACCTCCGTCCCGAAAGAAGTTTCCTTATTGACTTTTTGGAAAATTAAGAGAGGGATACTTTGGTGTTGAATTTCCAAAAATGCCCTTGATGTGATTGATAAAAGTAAGATGTGATAGATAGATTATTAGTAAAAAAATATGATGTGATAGCTAGGGTATGAAAAAGTAAGGAGCAAAAGTAGTTTTTTAATAGAAAAAGGAAGGAGTTTGTGGGATAAAGAAAAAATGAAAGGGGGAGATGTTTCAGAGACGGAGGGAGTATTAGATAAGAAATTGTATCTTTCAGAAATGATTTTAATTTAGTAATATAAGTATGACCCGTGCAACGTACGGGAGTGATGCTAGTACCCCCTCTGTTTTCAAAACTTAATTCTAAAATTCTCGTGGTTTCAAAACGTTGCATCTACACCTTTGATCATTTTTCGGCTATTTTTCGGCGAAGAGGGGGCATTGACGCATAATTTCTAAACCATAGGGGGCATTCATGCTCATTTCTTATTTTCGTTTATTATTTTTTTCCTTTTTTTTAAATATTTTCTCTCTTTTTTTTCCTAGAATTTTTTTAAAAATACATTTTCAATTTTTTATAATGTTTTAAAAATTTTAAAATTCTTTGCGTCTGAAATAAAAATAAAAATATAAAAATTAACATACATTACATCTATCTCAAATTAAACTATTTCATTTTTTGTTACTTAGAATAATTTTTGGAAAGTTCAGAAAAAAATCTAGAATAAAAAATATAATTAGATTAATGCTAGGATATAATTTTTTAAGCATCAAATTTTAATAATATTTATTTATTTAAATTATTTTTATTTTATGGTCAAATAGTATCACAATTAGACAAAAAAAAAAGTTAAAAATAGAAAAGATGGATATGAAGTATTGATTTTGGGACAAATTAAAGTAGAGGGATTCTAGTGTTCAATGTTCATACATACATCCTATGTGAATGAATAAAGCATCTTACGTTAAAGGTATTATTTCCGTGGATCCAGCCTGGCCTGGGACACAATAAACGTAACCGTTCCTCTTACATCATCCCCAAAAAGAAAAATTAGAACCGCTATCCTCGGATTTCATAGTAGACTGAGAGAACGTAAATATAACGCCTCGTTTCGTGATTTTTGGAAGTATGATAAGATATAATTTTGAAATCTGAAATGAAATTATTTGGAGAAATTTAAAATCTTGGTTTAATTAGTAATAGACAGAAATAGGACATATTTCTAGTACTCTCAAATTGAGTCAAGTTTACTACGAGTATTATTTTAAAAAAAGATGATTGAAAAGGTGTATTTGGTTATTTAGCAAAATGCTAATCGTTAAAAAGTAAACTAAAATAAACTTTTCAAAACGTTAATGTTTTTGTAGTTTTTGTGTGTTTTCTAATCTAAAATGCTAATCTATTAAACTATTCAAATAAAATTTTGGTTGGTGAAATATATTGTCTTAGACTAAAATGTCAAAAAAAGAGCAAAAATAAATAAATTGGCAAACACCTCATGTCGTTTCATTATCTACGTCTTCTATTTAAAGTATAAATGTGAATTTCATAAATAAAACATGAGTGTGACGACTTTTTTCCTTATATATAGTCATCATTTTATCCTACTCGGTTCATCAAACAATTTCCTTTTTTACGCAACCACCTCACTTATATCTTACTGAGTACATTAATTTCTTCCTCGACTACCACTAGCGATACATCAGATCATTCCATCAGATTTAAAGGTAATTCAAATAATACATCGATATTTTATGATTCTATTTTAATCAAACGAATATGATTGATAATTCAAGTTTAAGTGCATGAACTTAGTTAATCATTCATAATCACTCTATTAGATAACTGATGAACCACAAATACACAAAATTGTTGTATACATGCTTTCATTAGTAGACCATTAATGGGGATTTCAAATTAAATGATGTTTTTGGTACACAATCATAAGCATTATATAAGAGATCGATCTAAAAAAAGGAGTATACCTAATAATGCTATTGATTAATTTTATGATTCTCTCAAGAACTGACTTAGATTATACCGTGATGAGCATTACACCTTTTTTAAGTATCTCATTAAAATAAACACTTATCAGAGGCCTAAATTTTACTCTTAATTTTAGTCTCGTAGGTAGGCCTCTCGGCAAAGTTAACTATAATAATATTTGATGAATAATCACGGTTCTTTTGATGTTAGAAAAAAGTGACTTGAAAATGATCAAAACACTTATAATGCTCTATTAGTAAAATTGATGATTCATACCCCTAACCCCTCCTATTCTTCTAACCCTCCACCCCATCCAAGCCCCCACCATGCGGCTTAGGGATATTACCCATCAATAATCATGTTACCTTGCATCATAAAAAGTTAGGATGGGAGTAGCAAAAATGTGTGAATTAAAGTAAAATGAAAATTCAAATATTGTACTTTAGTTCATGCATTTTTTAATAGATCTAATGTAGGCAAAAAGGAATTAAGTACAATTATCATAAAAATCTAATACGAGTATTTTTTTTGGGTACAAAATACGAGTATGATAAGTAGTACTTTCTCCCCTCGAAAATAAATTTTAGAGTTTGACTTTATGGAGTTTATGAAAAATAAAAAAAAGATATATGTTTAAAATGTATTAAGAAGAAAGGGGTCAAAATGATATGAGCTACACATTTCATTCTTTAATAATTAATACAGAGCGTAGGAAAAAAAGAGAAAAGAAAAATTTAGATTTAAATTTACCATAAAAAGTATGAAATGTATTTTGAAAGGGAAGGTATGAAGGAGAATATGTTTCCTTTATATATAAAAAAGCATTGTGTAACATATGTATTGAAGAATTGTAAAATATTATGATCGGTGCCCCAAAAATACCCTGTGCCCCACAAAAGCTTTCTCACTTTCTCTCATTATTCATCCCAAAATAGTTTTCTTACTTTTTCTTTTTCCTATTTTCATAATCTCTAATAGAGCTAAAGATTCAATGTTTTTTTGCTTTTGGGTATGAAAACTAGATTTTACCCATACGTTGCACGATAAGTAATTTACTTCAAAACATAAATTAAAATAATTTCATGAAGTATAATTTGTATGTACAAAATTATGTGTCAAAGAAAATATATAAGTTCAACATAATATATTAATATATACTTCCTTCATCTCAAACAAACCTAAAATGTTTTGACTTTAGAAAAATTATTAAAAACAAAAAAAGTTATTACTCCATATAATTATTACTTATTAGTCACATGTACATAAATAAAAAATGTGTAAATCACAACTATAGAAAAACACTTTAGAAAATAGTACACATGTATTTAGTAGTATTATAATATTTTTATGAATGCTTTCATAGTATTAAAGTGTGTGTGTGTATTCAAGAGTAAAATAAAAGTAAAACCCATATGATACAATAGTCCAATAACAAACACAAATAATCATACACCAAAACCAAAAGAGTAAATATCCAAGGAACATAAATTTGTCCAGACACCCAAAAACAAAGTTCCAAAAGCTTAATGCAATCCCCCTATTCGTCCTCAAAAAAGCCTAACATCTCCTAATGCCAAAATGTCGTTGTAGATTGATTGATAGCTCATTAAGTTCTGCACAATAATGCTGATTGCAACAAAATTTCAAAGACATCTCCAAGCAGTAGCATTTACAGCACGGTACAAGTCCAAATGCATTCTTGTACATTAATAGAGATTTAAAAGATCTCAAACATGCCCCAAACACCAACTATGCACATTAATGAATATAGTTATACGTACATTAACAAATATACTTGTAGAGATGTCACAAATCTTTAGTAGCAAAAAACCAAAGCTCCCTCCTAATGTTTTCTCTCTTCCAAAAGAAATACCAAGACTCAAAATCCATTAGGATAAGCCCCTGCATTAATAGCCAAAATGGATTCTTCAACTACTTTAAGGGTCCGTTTGGTATACGGAATTGACGGAATTGAAATTGAATTGGAATTGAAATTCTATGGGATTCAATTCCATAGAATTAAATTCTGTCAATTCCAATTCATTTTTTGCACTATGAATTCCAAATCCACATAATTTTTGTGCTATCAAACACCAGAATTGGAATTGAAGTGTACAATTCAAATTCCATAATTTGAATTCCGTGTACCAAACGTAGCCTAAATGAAACCCAACACTGGAAGATGAACAATCACTGGCCTTAAACCTTGATACAGATTCAAACAAAAACTGATATTGTCAACAATATTGCAACAGTATATTAAAGCCGCCACATTTGCTTACACTACGGCATCGCCTTTTTTTCAAGTTCTTCTCGAATAAGCAATACAAATTCAGTTATGGGTTAAGGATTAATAACCTTTTAGTTCACTTAAGACTTTTAGAACTTTTGTTTAAAAGGGCATACCATTCATAGAGCATATGATACCCATTACTTCCCTCCAAATCAAACTAACGCCTTAAAATACTTATGTTTAACACTAACTTCAGATTTTTTATTATTAAAAAAAAGTAATTTCAAAAATAGTTATTTTACAAATGTGTAAAATAACTTATTGGTAAAAGAACTCCCCAATATTAATAATTTATTTTTTGAAACACTAATATTAATAATTTTGGTTTAAGTAAAATTTTTTAAATCTCCTGCAAGAACCTTCATATAAAACAAAGCTTATAAACATCAAAAGTTTTTGTCAACTGCAAAGAATAATTTTATCAAAAACTTAAAAAATTTACTCCGTAAAATGTAAGTGAGTCAACGCAAAATTAGTGTAGGGTGAGATTCGTCTTTTGGTGAGGCGTGACTATCACCGGACTCGTGCATATTGTGGAGTAATTTAACCGTCCAAAAGGAGCCTCCTACTGCACGAAGTATCCATCAATTCCAAAAAAAAAAACTAAATCCGGTGCCAAAAATGTCTCTTTGATCTCTCATCCTTAATCTATGCCAAATGTGCATATTGTGGAGGCCTTAGCATAGAGGAAAAAGAAATGAAGATTAATTTAAAGAAAACAATAGTTGATGTCCTTTGATAATTGATATGATACCTGGAACAATAGAGACCTTCAATACCTGAATGAAATGAAGATTAATTTAAAAACTTCTCCACTATTGAACATAAATAAGAAAAAATACCTCCAAAATTGTTAGAAGATGCTAAAGATTTACCGCGACTAACTAATAAGGATACATGTATGTTAAATACAACAATAATCAGTTAATTTCATATTTACTCACAGTTGAGAATTGATAAATATTCTTGAGATGAAACTTAACAATAGATTTATGAAAGAAATATGAAGTTTATAAGGCGTATAAATAAATGAAAAAGAAGAAGTTTGAACCTTAAATAGTGAAAACGATTGAAGAAATTGGCCTAGCCTCTCCTACTAATCATACATGCAATTAATGAAATCAGATCATCCTCATCCAATATGAACTTAGCACTTCACTCACCAAGCTCCGAAAAAATTAGGCTTTGACATGATACCACAATAAAATGAAACTAATCTAAAGAACCAAAAAATGGAGGATACCATATGATATGATAGATGCAATTCTTCTATCTAGCTGCATAACCCTCTGGTTGACATTAAACATTGTATTTGAAAGATGGATGTATCACAAAAATAGTCAAGATATCACTTTTTTAAATTTGCAAATAAAATTAAAGATGCGTGTGGTGGTACATGCGAGAATGGAAATACTGGCTGCTTCACTCTATCTAAATTAGACTCTAAGTTTTGGAATATTTCATCATGTTTTGGATAATCTGAATGACTTTGAATAAGATTTTACCCAAGAATTTTAGGTTGATATCCTTAGATATTTTGTCATGCTAAAATCTGCAAGCTTGATTTCTCCATTGGCATTTTCTCATCCCATCATCCAATCCTTCTGCTTGAATATCCAAATTAGCCACATCGAACATTCTTCTTGAGATGAAAAAATCTAAATATTTAAGAAATTGAGAAAGGAAAAAAAATCAGAATTTTAGAATTCTAAAAAGCTAGGGAGAACTTAGTTCTATGATTTTATTTCCTTCTTTGTTTGCTCTCAAGCTCTCTGTGGCTTCTTCGAGAAATCAAAGAAATCAAAATAAAAAGGATTGATTAGGGTTAACTTAGGGAAAATGGATCTAAAGAAATCAAACTTGTTTTTTAATGAAGCTAAAAAATTGATGAAATAAATATGAAATTGATATGGAGATATAATTGAATATAAATGGAAAGAAGATAGATTTGAAACCTTAATTATGAAAGAAAAATGAAGAAATTGATGCCACAATTCGGATGTACCGTACCCGCTAGATAATGTCTAAGAAGATGATGAACAGTTGATTACACTCAAGCTTTTACCTCTTCCTCACGCTGCAATGTTCCCAGAGGTATTGTGAAGCAAGCATCCAACAGTCTCACGCCCGTCCAGAATTAAAAAGCCCTCTCTCTCTCTCTCTCGAATGTGCTTTAGGCTTCTATCCATCTTGCTAAATTGCCTGAAGTAGTGGGAGGTTATAGGGATTTTCCTCTAAAACCATCCAATTTTGTCAGTGGGCCATCCTCGCTCATCTACTATTAGGCGCGAACAGTTACAATTTTTTTTCCTGCTGCTCTTGTAAATAGTAGGATAAAGTAAAATAGTTTTTTAAACTATTTGCGCTTCTTTTAACGATGAAGTAGCACTTAGGCAATGCAACTTTCAAGCTCATCATGGGTCATCCCGAAAACAGTTGCTCTATGTTTTAAACATAGAGGTCAAGTTGTGTACATGATTACCTGTGATGCTTGAGCTAAGGGTCTCTTTACAAAAAACCTCCCAACTTTGGAGTAGGAATAAAATCTGCGTATACACACTCCCTCCAGATCCTACTTTTGTAGAATTCAACTGAGTGTTACCTTCTCATTTTCCTCCAATACTTTGACACTTATTTTCTGGTTTCATTTAATAACAGATCTCCCATAATGGCAACAAACCAGAAGCAATGTTGCTCTTCTCTCTTCATCATGTTCCTATGGACTATGCACTCTTTCCTCACAATTGGCACATCTGCAGATGACATTGATTCATTGAAAGCTCTTCGAAATTCTCTTATTCCGACGAAAGACACTTTCTCTGCGAATTGGTTCGACACAAATATATCTCCCTGTAATTGGTCCGGGATCACTTGTGAATCCGAGAGAGTTGTCAAAATTGATATTCCATGTACACAACAACAACAACAACAACAACAACCTCAGAGTCTTCCATTTCCCAAATTCATTGTACAGTTCAGGTCCATGAGACACCTGAACTTCAGCCATTGTAACTTCAATGGAACTCTGTCTCCAAGCTTTTGGAGCTTAGAGAATCTTGAAGTTCTTGACTTGACGAAAAACAGGTTGAAGGGACCACTTCCTCTGAATTTGTCACACCTGCAAAGGCTGAGAGTGGTTTTGCTGGACGAGAATGAGTTCTCGGGCAATCTGCCATCCACAATCTGTGAGCTGAGAGAGCTTCAAGTGCTTTCGCTCCATGAAAATTCATTCTCAGGACAAATTCCTATAGAGATTGGAAGACTGGAGAACTTGGAAACCTTTGACATTACTGCAAATCACTTCTCTGGTAACTTGCCTTCCAGTATGGGGAATCTGACAAAACTTCGGCATGTCAGGGCTCGCGAGAACAATCTTTCTGGGATGATATTCCCACAAATTGGGAACTTGACAGAGCTTGTGACTCTTGATCTTGCGCGAAACATGTTGACCGGGGCATTACCTGCAACAGTTGGAAATCTTAAGAATCTTGAGGTGATTAATCTTAATAAATGCAGGCTCATTGGGAAGATACCTGAAGAAATATCCGAAATGGGTAGCTTGATCACATTAAACTTGGCACATAATGAGTTTGAAGGGGAGATTCCCTCGAGCATTGGGAAGCTAAGGAATCTTGTATATCTCATCATGCCGAATGCAGGGGTTACTGGAATGATTCCTTCTGAATTAGGAAACTGCACAAAGTTGAAGATCATAAACCTGTCATTCAACTCCCTGTTTGGTCCCTTACCTGCTAGCCTTGCAAAGATTGAATCTTTGCGCTCGTTTGAACTCAACGGGAATCATGTATCAGGCCCTTTGCCAGCCTGGATTTCAAACTGGACGCGCGCAGAATCTATAATGTTATCAAATAATCACCTTTCTGGAACTGTTCCTCGAATTTATCTTCCTCGCGTATCTTTCCTTGACTTGAGAGCCAATGAAATCTCAGGCAACTTACCTGCAGAAATATGTAATGCCAAATCCCTGAAGACCCTTTGGTTATCAGGTAACTATTTCAGAGGTAGGATTGAGAGTACATTCAGAAACTGTACAAGTCTCAAAAGCTTGGATCTGTCTGAAAATGATGTTTCCGGCGAGGTCCCTGCGTTCCTAGCAGAACTTCCGTTGGTTACATTAGAACTATCAAAAAACAGGCTTTTTGGAACCATTCCAGACCAAATATGGTACTCAAACACACTAATGGAGCTCTCTCTCAGCAACAATTTTCTCAAAGGACCTCTATCTATGAATATTTCTACACTTACGCCGTTGCGGGTCTTACAGATTGATAACAACCTTTTTGTAGGAAGCATTCCAAGTACTTTTGGGAATTTTAAAAATTTGACAAACCTTTCTTTACGCGGAAACAATTTAGAAGGAGAGATTCCTTTGGAGCTATTCAATTGCACAAAGATGGTGTCTTTGGACCTAAGTGCAAATAATTTTTCAGGTGAGATTCCAAAGTGTATAGCTAAATTGGAGAACCTTGTCACCTTGTTTCTCTCCAACAACCGATTCTCGGGACCCATACCGAAAGAACTGTGTGCTGCTGGATTTCGACAAATCCCATTACCGGAATCTGAATTCGTCCAGCACTACGGCATGCTTGATCTTTCCAACAATGAATTTTCTGGATCCATTCCTGCATCAATTCAACAATGCATCGTCATCAGAGAATTATTCCTGCAAAAAAACAAGTTATCTGGCACCATTCCATATGAAATCTCAAGCCTGGAAAGTCTAACGAACATGGATTTATCTTTCAATTCCTTAACAGGTCCTCTGATCCCTCAGTTGTTTTTCATGAAGAATCTTCAAGGGATGAACCTCTCCCACAACAAGATTTGGGGATCGGTTCCTGAAAACTTCGAATCAACAAAGATGAGCATGTTCATGTTAGACATATCAGATAATATGTTGAGTGGATCCCTCCCACCATCTATTTATAGCATGGAAAGCTTAACGCACCTGGATGTTAGCATGAACAGTTTATCGGGCTCACTCTCATTTGATATCGGACATGCAAGCTCATTATTATCTCTGAATGCCAGCAACAACAAGTTCAATGGCACCCTCGATGCATCTATCTCCAATCTTGTGTCTCTTTCCTCATTAGATTTACACAACAACTCCATCACCGGAACATTTCCAAATTCTCTTTCCATCCTTGATGCATTGACATATTTGGACATTTCCAACAACGACTTCGAAGGTTCTTTTCCATGTAGCATATGTAACATATCGACCATTGTTATCACAAATTTCTCGACCAACAAATTCATAGATGAAGTTCCTGTAAGCTGCAGAAACTCTAGCAAGTTTTGTTCTTCGCACGAAGGACCTCCATATCTCAAACCTAAGGGGGGCTATGCGCTTCTTACTTCTTTACTGCATCCCTCTCTTTTTGGAATTGTTCTCGGAACATCTCTCATTTTCTTTGTTGTGTTAATTGCAATCCTAACTCGAAAAATTCTGAAGCGAGAAGCAGAACTCGTATCTAGAGATACTAAGACAAGCACTAAGCATGTGAAAATAAATGACCCTCGCAGTGATGATCAATTTCAAATAAGGAAGGCAAGGGAGCCTCTAAGCATCAACATCGCTGCATTTGAACACACTCTACTGAGGCTCGATCACACAAGTATTTTATCAGCCACGGAAAATTTTAGCACAAATTGTATCATTGGAAATGGGGGCTTTGGAACAGTATACAAGGGAAAACTACCACGCGGACGGGAAATCGCTGTCAAGAGGCTTTATGGAAGCTGCAACATGCCTGGAGATCGCGAATTCTTTGCTGAAATGGAAACACTTGGAAAGGTAATATTAAGACTTATGAGTCCATTCTAAACATTCAACCACATAATTTAGTATCCTAATAGATTTTGATTTATCAATGTGTGACGGTTTAACATATTTTGTAATATAATGTCTTATTAAAGGTCCTAAGAAGATCAACATAATTAGAAAGGAAAAGTAACCCTACGTATATATGCTGATCAATTTTTTATATTTTATTGATGTTTGAGGGAATAACAGGTAAAACATGAAAACCTAGTACCCTTGGTTGGGTATTGCGCGCTTGAAGATGAGAGATTCTTGGTTTACGAGTACATGGAGAATGGAAGCTTAGATGCTTGGCTTAGTAATAGCGCTTCTACAACCAGGGTGCTATGCTGGCCAACCAGGTTCAAAATTTGTCTCGGTGCAGCTCATGGTCTAGCCTTTCTTCACCATGGATTTATCCCTCACATTATACATAGAGACATCAAATCCAGCAACATACTGCTGGATAAGAACATGGACGCACGAGTTTCTGATTTTGGGCTAGCGAGGATCATAAGTGCATGTGAGACACATGTCAGCACAATGTTAGCTGGCACATTCGGGTACATACCACCAGAATATGGGCAAGCAATGGTGGCTACAACAAAGGGAGACATCTACAGTTTTGGGGTGGTGATGCTTGAGCTAGTAACAGGGCGTGCACCAATAGGACAGGCAGATGGCGAAGGCGGCAACCTAGTTGGTTGGGTTAGGTGGATGGAGAAAAAAGGAAAGGAAAGCGAGATTTTAGATCCGTGCTTCTTGGGCTCTTCAATTTCATTGAAGAACCAGATGCTGTGTGTTCTTCGCATCGCCCAGTCTTGTACATGTGATGAACCCTCGAAGCGGCCTACAATGCTTCAAGTTGTGAAACTTCTCAATGATGCCAAAATTTAATGAAACAATTCTTTCTATATTACCACATTAGAAGTTTAGCTACTATATTGTAAGCCATGAAAAGTCTCACCTATTCAATTTATTATCCTACATGTGGACTAAAATATTAACTACACATTATGACAAAACTTATAAGTAGAATAGTAGATGACACATTTTGTTCAAGCCTATATCCGTCATAACAGTAAGCGAGAATGTCGGCTTGAGTAACGCAAACATTGGTGAGAATCCAATGCCCCGAAAACCTAAGGGTAGGGAGATTCGGCATGGTGCTCACTGAACCTCCGTAATATCTAACAAGTTGAGTCTTATGTCGGTCATATAGAACACCAACACATAGAAAAAGGGCTGAAGAAACCAGTCCATGACTTGACATCGGTAGAATGCTACCTTGAGTTGAACTATGTTCAACGAATCTTTGTTCTCTGTTCTTCAGAGGGACTCCCGTTGGTCGTACCTCGAAGAGGTACAAGGGTCCAAAAGAATGATTTCCCGAAGCCTAGCCTATATACTTTACAAAAATATAGGGCGAAAAGCCAAAAACTGTCAAACTTGTACGGGTTTGCACTTCGCATGGTCAAGGATTCTCCTTGCTCACGAATGTCTTCAACTTACTTGAGAGTTGATCGTGTGGGCTCTTGTGGCCAACAAGATTACCCAAAGAATGGAACAACCACTTACCATATCAAGCAATGCAAATTGCAGTATGAGAATTAGTCAAATTAATACTCTGTATTTAAACTGAAGCAGATAAATATCACTATGCGTAGGAGTTCAGGAGGGTTGCAACAAAGACACTTTGAATTACATAGGGAAAGAACGGGCAGAAAGAATTGCAAACCCGGGGATTCTAAAACAACAAACTGCCCCAAGCAGCAATGAATGCAGAACCACCCAACGGTGCTAACTTTGAATACTTCCGGTCCTCAAGATATGCAACTGTATAACACCTGCAACAGTTAATCTAATGGATTTCATTGTTTTGCTTTGCAACAAACTCAAATGAAAGACAGATTGAAACCCAAACAATTACTGAAATTCAACATTAGACAAGACTAGACGTCCGTACAAATTTCACAACAAATTTAAGATAATGAAATGGCTATTATTTCTTTTCGTCATACAAAGAGCTTGTCACGTTTGTAAAGCTAGTTTTAGTACTAGTATCACATATGACTTCTTTCTGAAGTCATTTAACACACCCAAAAAGTAAGCAGGAGCCAAGGAAACAGAAGTCACTTACGTTCCGGAAAATGCAACAATCCCAGCAGTTAAAAGCCCTCCAAACTACAAACCAACCATAAAAATCGGAAATAAATACCCTATATATATCCAAGGCCAAGACACGCATCTAATAAACCCTTCGAAAAGAGCAAAGAGGGGAAATTGAACTCACAATGTGTGGGCGTTTGGCAATGGGAGAAGCAACTAGGGCTGCTGTGTGAACCAGATGGTAGAGTGAGGCTGTTTGCCACACCTTCCATATAACCATTGAATTTCAAATGAAAGCAAACAAACAAAGAAACAAATAAATTACTCCTATTTTCCCATTGTATTGCTAAATAGAAAAAAAAGTGACCATGAAATGAAGATTTGGATTAGTAGTACTAGCTACCTCTTTGTAGGTAGGGTTCTTGGGCTTGAATCCGTGGGAACCATAAGTGCCCAATCCAAGAGCAGCAACACCTGTTATTATTCATCGATTAATGTCTCAGGGTTTTGCTTTTTCATGCCAAAAAGAATGATAAAACAAGGATCTTTAACAACTTGAGATGAAAACAACAAGATAACAGTTGAAAATTTCTGCAAAAAATTAGAGCAAAACGAAGAGCTTTTAAGTTCGGAGTACTGTAGAAGTGTGGGGGGCGTACCAGAAATTGCAGCGATTTTGTGCCACAAATAAGGATCCATTGCCCAGATTTTCTTCCCCTTCAATGGATTCTTCTCCCTTTTCTCGCTCTGTATTTTCCAGGCTCGTCGCCTTATCATTTTGTGATTCAGGCTAACCCCTTCCTACCCCCAAAGCTACGACGTCGTTTGCTAGACCATCTTAGCTTCTTTATAAATGTTCAACATTTTGAGCCAAACAAACATTTTTGACTAATGAGACGGAAAATGTCTTTTGAACTAATTGTTTCTTTAAATTATTACATGCACCTAAGGTTTGTGATGAATCTTAATATAGGTTAAATAAATATTTTTAAGTGTTAAAATAAGTATTTTTAACATTTAAAAAGTATAGAAGAATGTCTACGTGGTAACGTGGACCTTAAGTTCACCATAAAATCTCTCTAAATCAGCATTTTGAACTAGTATTGTACTGAAAAAAACAATATGCTCTTATTGTTTCTAAATGAATTGCATGAAAGTCAAAAGGAAGAAAAAATTTAATTTTTTTTAATTAATATAGAAATAAAAATAAAAATTTGTAGTTTTAAAGACTATGTCAAACATTCTACAAAACAAGTTGTGAGAGAAATAATACTCTGAAATTAAGTAGTAAACAAAAAATTTCATAAATTTTGAATAGTACAATTTGCAATCCATTTTAAGAATGTAGGAAGTAATTGATACGGAATATAAAAACTTTAGTTTTACGAAGTTTGCTCTTGGCTTTAATGGTAGGAAACACACTCCCCAAGATTCATAAGAAAGTTTGCCCAGATTCACACTCTAACGGAGGCGGGAGCATTAACTCATTATGTATCATTAGGTTAAAAATTTTATGAACAAATGTTACATTATAATCAAGTCAATAACATATAAAAAATTTAGTTTTACTTATTACCATATTGTTAGGTTTTCAAACAAATTTAAGGTGAAAGTCAAACTCGTATTTCGCTAGGTTTTTCAAATGATACTAAGATGAAAGTCATACTTGGTCCGTCCCTGAGTGTTTGTCCACTTTTGACGTTTAGAACTGTTCATCTAAGCACTTTGACTCATAAAATTCTCTCAATGTGTAAGCCAAAAAATAGTCATGTGTGATCTTGTTTGATTCGTCTTAACATATAGATTATTAATATATAATTTTTATAATTTTTTAATATACAAATTACAAGATAAAATGGATTAAAGAAGTGCATTGAATGGTGTGCAAAAATGAAAGTGGACAAACACTGGGACGACGGAGGGAGTACTAATTATCTTTTGTTGACATTCACAAGGAAAATTTTCACATGTCAAGAATAATATTTGTTCATCCCCGTGAAGGATGTGTTACATTTTTCTTAACCGTTTGAGAAGACAAATTACTGAAATTATTTAATTGATATTTTAATATTTTGACCACTTTCCGTTGAATAATGAACTAAATTCAAAATATACATTAAACATTCCATTGCTTCTTAGTTCTTACTCAATTTTTTTCTCGTTTTCATATGGATAATGTTAGGACTTAGGTGATACTTTAGGCGTAGCATCAAAGGGTAAGGTCACAATGATGATTCAACGTGATGTATTGAACCCAAAGACCAAAGTTTAGGCCTTGTTTGGGAATAACGTTTTCAATTAGCGTTAATCTTTTGGATAAAATATTAACGGTTTAGATTAATTGGGAAAACATTAACGCTAAAAGTTGTCGTCAGGTAACCTTTTAAAAACGCTAACGCTAATCTCTAACGCTGATGCCAAACGGGACCTTAGTCAAACCAGGAAAAAAAGAAGTAAAAGTTCATCATCCTACAATACATCACTCTTGATAATAGCTGATATTTATTTGAAGAGAAAAAGATAAATATAATATAATTATGTACAAAGTTGCAATAAAAAAACAAACAGGATACAGAGCCACCTCAAACAGCAGGGAGGCCATTGTGTTACACGGATCACTTGTGATCCTCACAGAGTCACAGCTGTGTGGGTTTCAACTTCAAATCTGTACACCTTTCATCCCAATTGTGTTAGAATAAATAATAATAATAATAATAATAATAATAATAATAATAATAATAATAATAATAATAATAACAATAATAATAATAATACGATGAAATGATGCCAATCATCTGTTTTCTCCACCTTCACCTTTGCTTGCTTTCGGCCTACGCGTTTGTTACAGCACGGAGATGCTCCCCAGGGCATAGAGTAGAGCTCATATGCTCCGTTTGACAATGTTTCTCTCTATTATGCACATCCGTCATGAACCAAGCAACCTCATTGGCTGGTCTGAATCGGTCTTCTTCTTCTACTACTTCTTGGTCCGAGATACCTTGTGACATATCTGGCATTGCAGCGTTCCTTAGTCCACAAAGCTCTGTTTCAGGGCATAAATCCATTTTACTCTCAGGCAGTTCGTGTTCGTTTGCTGATTGAAGAACATCGGGGATGGCAGCTGGATCAAGATCCCAGCAACCCTCTGGCATAGGCTTGGTGGGGGTCCCACCTTCGTCCCCTTTCAGGAAAAAAGATGGAACCATATGTGAAAAACACAACATCTCTCTTCTTTGTATCCAACGGATGGCATCTTTCTCACTGTTCCTTTTATAAACCGTCTTATATCCGTCCACTTTGAGTAGAGGAGCAACAGACACGCCGGTTTCTTCAGAGTAGTCATCAAGCACTTCCACCATCTCATACTGGTGCCTAACTTCGTCCGGGGTTGTTCTGTTCCAACCCGGCGACCAGTTTCTGTACACTGCCCATACATCCCCACGCTTGGGAAAGATTCTAACACACCCTCCCCTACCCGCCTTCTCCCCACTAAGAAGATGAGAAAAAAGGTTGACCTGGTCAACAATTTCTGAGTTAAATGCCCTAAAATGTCCACATGATTTGGTGAAACCGGAGCTCAACCAATTCACTGTCCCGAATTCACTGTCAGATTTCGAGCTTAAGTAGCTGATGTGAATCTTGAATGGATTTAGAGAGAGGACTTGCCTGACCAGACAATACAAGCGTGGCATTCCATCTTCTTCGTCATACAGAGCCCATATTTGCCTTGGTTTGAAACTTTCCTCTGTTTTGTCTTTGTCAAAATCATGGAAATCCGAGTCGGGGACTGTTATTGTCATTGATCCCGTTCTCCTAAGTTGTGATTGAGGTCTTTTGGGTCTTTTATTGGAATCCTCACCACATTCACCAAGGGGTTTCTTCTTCTCCTCTACCACCTTCATCTCTTCCAGCTTCTTATGAATTACTGTTCTGGCCTTGTCAATCAGTAACTGTCTTGAATCAAAAGCAGGGGCAATGGAGCGCTTGGAAGCAGCCTCAAACCCAGAGCAAATCTTGGAATGCTTCGGATTTGTATTCCCATTAGCAAATCTGACCTCCATAGCAGCAGTCTGAGAAGATCCATTACAATTATTGATATTGGTGATGTGATTTCCTTCACATTCAACTTTTCTTATCTTTGGAGGCCTACCACGCCTGGCCCCCTGTTTCAAGTGATCTCTTTGTTCAGTGCCCTTCATTTTCTCCCTTTGGGGAACTGTGACTCCAAAGGAGTTTCCGGGGACCCACTGAAAGGACAAATTTGAAGCATAGTCGGATCCATGTCCGAAATTGTGTCCATTCTCACGTTTACTGGCCCAAGAGTAGTACGGATAGACACTATCAGCTGGGCCCAATCCTGTTTCATAAGCAGTAAAAACTGCACGGCAATTCTTACAAGAAAGTTTCTTGTTTTCATACTTCCTAAAATACTCATACTGAACGTCACAGTTGGAACACACGGTCCAAAACGTATCAAGTTTGTTAAGGCAGTTTGTGTTTCTCTTGTAATCATAAGACATTCTTCTAGAATTGTCAGATAGTACGGCTCGTGCCTCAGAAACAAGCTTAAATGCACTGTCAGCTCCAACAGTTTTGTTCTTGTCAGGGTGAAGCATAACGGCCATCTTTTTATACTGTTTCTTTACACTGGATTTATCCGCGGATGAGTCTAGTCCTAGGACTGCATATAAATCAACCTCTCCATTGATTTTCATCTCAGCAGCACTGTGAACTCCAAAAGTTAACACCATTTGAGCTATGCCCTCTAGATCAGGGCACATCTTTTGAGCTTTTAAAGCATAATTCTTTGCACCCACAAAGTCTTTCTCTGCAAATTTCCTCTCAGCAATTTCCTTAGCTTTTAGAGCTTCACCTATGTGCCCTTCCATCTATGAAATGCCAATATTTACAGTAAATCCCTGGAGAGATATATGTGTAGCTTATCAGCAGCCCGGCAAGGGAAGCCGCTGCACCCAATCCTAATTTTATTCTTCTGCAATCCAACACCAAACATATAAAGTAATGATACCTTACTTTGACATTTATTTCCCTAAAGAGGAGAATAGAGAAGAAATAAATAAAAAAAGGAGCTATTGTTGGGAGAAAATAAAAGATGACCCCCACTTTAATAAAATTATTTTAGACATCTGCAAAAACTATTTTATTTCTATGGCACGAAAGACTTAAATCTATACATCATACGCAAAAATATAAAACAAAAAAAATCATATTTCATGTTTCTTTGCCAGACATTTTCTAGGTCCCAAACATACAGGGAAAAAGAAAACATAAATTCATTACCCCGAAGAGATAAAATAAGATCAGAAAGAAGAGATGATGACCCTCACTTCTAAGTCATGTTCCACATTCAAGTCTGATCCATGAAAATTAAGTACTTCTTAGTATTTTCTTCTCATTTTGCACTTCAAGAATATAACCAAAAGACCCACAACCCAAGATTCGTATAAATATTCATCGAAAACCCATATAGTACACAAAACAGCTCAAAATGAAAGTTCAGTAAGTGGGTTAATGTATAGCTACATCCACATCTATGAAAATCAGCTAAAAGCAGAACCACCAAATTTTGCTGGAAATTCAAAGTCAAGTCAAAGAAATTTCAACCTCTGCTTGAAATTCAACTCAACAGCATCAAATAAAATAATCAAACCACCTTAATTACCCACATTCACACTAAAACCCAAGCTAAAAACTTCAAAGATTAAGCATAATATATATTTTTAAAACATCACTGAGACAATATCAAACAGTGGAGCATCAGACTGCCAAATGACCTAAAAAAGCTACTCACTGAGGGAAGAAGGATAGTAGATTTAGTACAGAACCCGACCCGAGTGCATCATCTCCGATTATACACAACTTTGCCGCAGATATCCAGATCTAGATCGAGACTTAGGAGCCATTTAGGTTAGGGTACATCTTAAAAAGTAAACCCATCTGATAAAAAAAGTAAATTATAGATTTTATAAATACGAAAAAATGTTTACCCTAAAATGAAAAGTGCTTAAAGTAATAAATACAAAAAAATAATAAAAAATAAAAAAACTACTCCGTAAAAAAATTAAAAAAATAATAATAATATTTAATCATAATAATAATAACAACTGTACGAGTTTCAGAATTACTGTTCCGGTAGTTGACGGCGGCGGAACGGCGAGAGGTTCCGTCGGAAACGCCGATTGGGTCGACTATAACTCCTAAACTAAAATTGCAGAATTATCATAATTGTTGTGAGTTCCTTCAAAAAAAAAGTGTTGTTAGCAATTAAAAATAAATAAAAATAAAAATGTCATACTCGTAGATGAAGGTGAATACTAAATTTAGGTTTGTGGAGAAACTTTGTGCGGTAAACATTTTTTTAACAATGTACTCCAAAATTGTTCTACACTATAATGGCGCATAGATATACTGTATGTCTTCATCTTCATGCCTTAGAGGCTTGGAGAATTCTCATATATCTCAACGGAACCCTACTCCTCATATATTCAATTTTTGAGTTGTATTACTTGTATATCTTCCATATCTTTTATTATTCTAAAGACGAAAAGACTAAAATAGGATTAAAACATTAAAAATATATCAAAATAAGACTTCTATACTTTTATTGCCGAAATATGACTTACATTACCAAACATGATCATGTACATTACCAAAAAAGTATTGTAATGTACACATGTACTGTGCCACATAACTACAGTGCAAAGTCCTATTTCAAGAAAAAAAACATGAAATTCCTATTTTGATACTTTTCTCTATGTTTCAGTCCTATTTAGAGTGATTCCTATACTTTGTAATTTTTTTAGGAGTGAATGTGGAACGGCATTTAGTTCGTACAGATACCATACTAAATATTTTGGTTCGGTATGAAATTTTACATCATACCGATCCCGATCCCGAAGTATCGGTTCGGTATGGTTCGGGATTATTCGATTTCGGTTTCAGTAAATATTAGGATGAATATATATACGTACCTAGTTTACACTTTGAAATATAGAAAACTTTTTATTTTAGAAAAATCGAAAGTACATTCAAATAAAGAAAGATAAATCATCGAAAAATGAATAATTAAATGTAAAAATGCTTATAAAACTTAGTTTAATTTATACTTCATATTTCACAAACGAAAGAAAAAGAATGATAACAAAATAGCTTTTCAAATGTTTCTTAATTTTTTTATATTCATCTACAAAAAATTAAAATGTAAATAAATGACTATATAAATAAAAGATTATTTGTGATTCATTTAAACTTGAACCAACTTTTTGAAATCAATTTATTTTTTAATGAAGAAATATAAAAGATTGTTATTTTTATGAAATATTTGTATATATGTCCGGTTCGCGATTTTTCGATAAGTGAAGTTACCTCGTACCGATCCCAAATGTCGGACCGACCATTCGGTTCGATACTGTATGATTCTTTTTCGATGTTTTATCAGTTCGGTATTTTTCGATTCGGTAATCTCCATTTTCGTGAAATTTCATGATCGGTTCGGTACTTGCGCACCCCTAATTTTTTTTAATTTTTTTTAAATTTGCATTACTTATGGTTTTAGCTAACTTGTTTTTATAGTTTACTGCATTTTTTAATTTTTAAAATATAAATAGTAATAAGAAAAAGAATGTATTGTGAAATATTATTTTGATTTTGGTGCAATGAGTTGGAAATGAATTACTCTAAATTGGGGTTTTGTGCATTTTGAGTTTGAATTTGGTGTGAATGATCGGAGATGATCTTAACAAATGGGGAGTACTTGTATTTTTTATTACTCCTTCCGTCATAAAACTATCTCCTCGTTTGTATTTACGAGGTTTGATCGATCTTATTTTCAAATCAATTTATTTGATTGTAGGTGTAAAATAAAAAAATAAAATTTATATATACTTAAAAACTACATCAAAAGTTCTACAAAACAAGAGGTGACAAGACTATATTATTTTATTAAATAACTAATAAAATATGTAAAGAAAATGATTTATGTTTGAACCGTATATATGAATAGTAACTGGGAAGATAGTTTTAGATCTGGGGGAGTATTATTAACCCTATTACTATGTAATACGGAGTACAAAGTATCTGTCTATATTTTTCTTATTTTAATGATGCCTAGTAAGTCAACGCAAAAAAAAATATCCTTGCCAATCAAGTCAGAGAAGAAACTCAAGAAATACCTATAGATATACTTCATTCGTTCCAAAGTATTCGTTTAGTCAAGTTTTATAAAATTAAGTTAATAAGTTAAAATTAAAATATATTAATCTATTTTTTCATGGCAAGTGAGACTCGTCTTCTTAAAAGAAGGAAAGATGAGGGGAAAAACTAAAGTGGTGAGGAGAATATTAAAGCAAAAACTCATGTGTCATGACTCATGAGAAAGGAGAGTAGGAAGGGAAAGTGTGAGGAAGAGCTAAAGTTGCTTTTAGACTTGCATTGGATTAAGGGTCCGTTTGGTATATGGAATTGATGGAATTGAAATTAAATTGGAATTGAAATTTATGAGATTCAATTCCATAGAATTGAATTCACCAATTCCAGTTCATTTTTTGCACTGTCAATTCCAAATCTACATAATTTTTGTGCTAGCAAACACCAGAATTGAAATTGAAGTCCCTAATTCCAATTCCATAATTTAAATTCCGTATACCAAACGGGGCCTAAATATACAACTTGGGATTGGTTTATTTGTTTTTTCAATTTACTACTTAAGGTGCGTTCTGTTTTAATTATTTTTTCAATTTACTACTTATTCATATTCTCATAAGTTTTTAAATATAATTACATTTAGATCAGAAATAATTTTTTAATATAACTACAATTATATCAAATCCAAACGGATCAAATCAAGTCAGGCCAGATCTAATCAAACTAGACCCAAGCAAATCAGATGAGGTTTTTTTCTTATAGTTTAGTAAAAGTTGGGATTTGAATAGAGGGATCAAGCATTTGAGTGAATAATTCTCAATCCTTACTTTTTTGAGTTGGCAAAAGAGAGAATATATATTTTGATACTCAATATAGTCCCACCATTGGACATATTATTATTGTTGTACCAGTTGTACCTAATCCCCTAATTATAGCCATATGATAGTAGAATTTATCATATTAAGATGATTAAAATGCAAAGTTATTGAATAGTAAAAAAAAGCACACTTATTGAATAAAATTTAGTAGCAGAGTATTTCTTTTGTTCTAAATATAATTCACATTTTAAAATCCTAACCTATGCTAGTAAAAAAATTATTCAAAATCTTAATTTCTCCCTTGGCTTGAGTAGTAGGAAGACCTCTCTCCTAGATTTCACTCTGGTTTGAGCTCCAGTGTGGACGGAGGCATTGACTCATTATGGCTCATTAGAATGAGAAAAGTATGAACACAAACTACATTGTAATTGAGTTGATAACACAAAATAAATTGCATAGTATTTTTGAAAAGGAAAAACATTTTTTTTTTGAAAAAGTGGGAGTAACTAATTAATTACAAACATGGCAGATATTGCTTTGTGGCTGTACAGGGAAATGCAGAGGTCTAAGATTTGGCCCAATGCGTATACTCTGAACATGGTTATTGAAGAAGAACTCTGTAAATCAAGAAAATTGGAAAAGGCCATTGAAGTTTTTAGAGAAATGGAGATCAGGATAATATGAAATTATTCATGTGTTTATTCTGAATACAATACTCAGTAGTTCTCAGTAAAGGTGCACCAGAAATAGATGACAATCATAATAACCATTATTTGTGCTTCACTCCATGTATATATTGATACTACAAGTTTTGTTCAATATATCAGGTGGCTCATGCTACTGGAAATTCTACAAAGATTATGAAGGAAGACCTCTCGGTCTCGCGAACATACTGTACAGTGCCATTCATAATCTTAACAAGTTTATGGCTTATATACAAACCAAGACCTTCCCTCGACATGTTTCTGTTCCTCTTGAACATCTCCTGGATTAGCTCCTCTGGAATCCCCGGTGCCGGGTGTGTGATCCTGCATTTAGGGCATGAATGAATTGCAGAAAACCAAACAAGACACAGAGTTTTAAGGATAGAAACAAAAGTGTTGTGTCTAAGAACATACTATTCATGTGAAAATAGTACACTTACCGAAACTCAAGATGCAGTAGATGAATTTTTGCTCCTAGGGACTCCTTTCTGGGAATAATGCTGAACAGAACGGACGAATCTTCAAAATGGGGTGTGAAAAGTAGAGCGGCTGACAAGAAGTCGGAGAGCACTTGTTGAACCCTCAAATTGTCTCCAAACAAGAACAAAGACGATGGGTCGAAGGGGAAATCGCACGCGACCTCCACCTGCCACTCCACACTTGGAATCATAGCTTGGTTCACCACAGCTTTTATCGCGTCACCAAGGCAAAACTTGATACAGTTCATTTCCATGTAGCTGATGAACAGTAGAGACAGAAGAAAGTCAATGAAATGTTGCTACTAAACATCGCAAAACAACAACTTTTATAAAATGGTGGAAGTCAGATTATGATTACCATTCCTCGATACTTTCAATATCGGTATCATCAAGGATCTTGGCCAGTTGTTCTTGGCAAGACACACTGGTCTCCAGAAGCAGCGATTGATCCTTGCTTAAGTTGGAAGATTTCATCGAATCCTGAACATATTTTATACCATTCAACGGGTTTCTGATTCCACGCCGGATGTAAGCCAAGTTTTTTAGGCTATTTGCAGCTGCTTGTTCAGATAGTTTTTGAACATGTATTGCGTGCTGAAGTTCCGGGCTGGGGACGTGTAAAAAACACAGGACCCCACTAACCCTCCCTGCCATTTCAGCTCTTTTGTTTGCCGAGATTAACGCTTCAACGTACTTATTCTTCTTATCAAAAAACCCAAAGATCAGTTCCTGTAAATCCTGCCCTCCCAGTACTCCATTCAATAATATCATGAGTTTGGTCAGTGTGTCATTGTCTTTGACCTTGCAACCAAAGCTGCTTACTGTGAAGACTTCCCCCAGAATCATATGACCAATGGCCTCATCTCTCTTCAAACCAGTCAACTTCTGCATTGCATCGTTCCATTCCAAACATCGACCATGCTCGTCAATCATGAAGATGGGAGGAATTAATGCAGAAGGGCTATGCAAGATCCCCTCATAATCTCCTTGTATACGGTTATATTTGTCCATAATCAACTCTTTTCCAGTGACGTCTTGTCCTACAAAACAAACTCCGACAATGTCTCCTTTCGTGTCCCGGCTCGAACATGCATTTGCTACCAGAACAACATGATCTTCATTTTCTTGAGAATCAAACTTTTTTAGTTTGATTTCGACATTTTTCTCCTCTTCGCCTGACATTCAATGTCGTCATTGCAGATC